TCTGTATATCTGTGTGCCACTAATTATAGATAAAATTCAATGTCTGTAAATGTCAAAATTTATATAGATGCCCATATATGAAGAAGAACAATTTAAAAAAAAAACAAATGTGAGCACCATAAATTTTAAAAGTATTAATTTTGATTAGTTTAAAAAGAGAAAGTGAAATCTGTGAAAAAGAAAACAATTTCAGGATAGTGTGTAAAGGGCATGCACATGTTTTTGTTTTTTTAAACTAATATCAGGGTTTTTTTAAATTCTTTCTTCAAAAGAACTATTGAGTGTTCTCAAATCCTAGTCTAAATTGAAATTCATTTTCACGAATGAAGGAGTTCAAAAAGAATCATTTTTCATCTTATTTAAATGACTCTTCTTTATAACAGTGAAATGAAAGTTGAATATATTTATAAAAATGGCTAAGATGCTGTCCTATGGACACCTGCTGTCCTTTTCAGAGTTTTGTTTGTAATCCTGTGAGAAAACAATTTTAGTTTCTGTCTAAATTTTGAAGCAAACGAAACTTTGCCAGCCTTTTTCAGTTGCTTCTACAGGGCAGATATTAACATTTAAATGATTTAGTGTGGAGAATGAAATAGCCAGAGAAGTTGTCTCAATGCACTGAACATTTCCTGTAAAATCTTATTAAATTTCTGAACTGATTGAAAAGGTGAGAGGAAGATGAACAAGAGAAAACCTTGCTGAAACTGCTTTTTGGATAGATTATTTCATTATTACTGACTTCCTCCATTCATAGAAGCATAGACTGATTAAAAAAACAAAAAGTAAAAAAAACTTCTCAGTACAAAACCTTGTTGATAATGAGTAAAAATGGTTTTCATAGTAATTGAAACTGCAATAATAACAAGTCCTATATAGATTGCTTAGTATACAACAATATAACTATTTACAATACAGCAACTGATAACTTTGCTGATTTTATAATAGAAAACAATAGAGTAATCTTGTTCACTATTTGAATCTTTCTATGCACACAGTAATAAAATTGAACATTTGATCTCTGTTAATGATAAAATCTTCTTTTTGTAAGAAGATGATTCTTATGCTAAATATGTAATTCTATCTGATCCCAAATGTTAAATTTATTTGATTCCTTTAAAACTCTGTTTCCAGACTACATCAACGTTGATTGATTTGTTTTTTACAGCTTATCAACCTTTTGTAGGTCATTTAATACCAGAACACATTTTCGTATTGTAGAAGGTTGCTTACAGTACCCGGTGTTTCCAAGTGGTCACCCATCTAAGTACTGACTGGGCACAGTGTTGCTTACTACATCAAGATTTAAAATGTTTAAATGTTTTGGCTCACATTGGACATAATACTATTATCATTATATTTATATTGGCTTGACAAATGATGATGTAAAGAGGTGATCCATTTCTTGTTCAATGTTTCTCTTAATTGATGAAGCCAATACAAAAGAGGCATGTCCTGGGTGAGAGAAACAATATAAAGATTAACTTATTTCAATTTCTTAAATGTGAAGCATTATCAGTTATTATTCATTTTGGGGTCTGGTATTTCTTTCTTCTTAATTTCAGTTATTTTCTTATTGCAACTCCCAGATCAGGAATTTGGCAAGCAAAGTGGATCATATAGGAAATCTTAAACTTGTGTCCCTTCTCTTTGAGAGCTTGTCTTACTGTACCAGTTGCTTCACCAATTAGTCTATGAAGACCATCAGCTGTAATCATTTAACTCTTAACCATATTCCTTTTTTCATCAAACACCTGATAAACTGCCATCTTTGCTTATTAGATGTATTATTACTTAAAGCATTGTTAGTAATAGTTTATTCTAATAGCATTTTCTTTATCTTAATTTCAATTATTTTTTTTACCGCAGTTTCTAGATTGTCAATTCCTAATTGTTCCTAAGCATATGTACAAATCAAAAAATAAGCAAGATTTGAACTTGTATCCCTTACTTTCAATCTATGTTGCTTACTAAAGATCAGTAAAAGATGATTTAGAAGTTGCAATAAAAAAAAGCAACTTTCATGGTAATTGTACTAAAGAACTTTCTCCTATTGTATGTAGACACTTTATGAATTTAAGCGCAGTACTAGATTGGCTGCAAGGTCTCAACATTTTACAGTTAAAGTGGCTAGATGTAACTGTAAGTTCTATGCTAATATTTATTTCTATCCACTTCTTGCTTGTGGAACCCTCTTCCAACTTCTTGCTTCCCAGTCAACTTTGATCTTCAGAAATTTAAATGCAATGTCTTAATTCTTGTTTTTTTATTGTTATCTCTCCTTAACAATGTTTTTTTGACTCATATTCTTTCACACTCAGTAACACTTTGCATTGTAGTGGCTTTATTGCCTTGCTTGAGGTGAAATAATAAAAAAAAAGCAACTGAAATCAAGATGAAAGATACCAAAAATAAAAGAATACTTATGGATAAATTTACACTGAAACTCAACTTTTTAGTATAGCTTTATTTTCTTCTTTTTTTTTTTTAACCTATGACATGTTATTGGCTTATATTAGATAAGGAGACACTTTGATGAAATTCAAACAGGGGATCAGTTTTGTTATCATGCATAGACTAAACTGGATACCTATTTCATGTTCAATTGATTCTAATTTTTAATTAGTTCAATATTTGTAAGGTGTATCTACTGGTTTATTTAGATCAGTACTTTGGCCTTCCTTACTTTGATAAAGTAATACCTTGCAATCATTAACATCTCAAAGTGATAAACCTTTTTGTCTTTCTCAGAAATACATTCATTTTATTTTTGGATTTTTTTTTGAACAGTAAAATCACAAAGTTTGATTTCACAAGGCAGCATGAATTACTTTGATTTTTTTTTATACCTTCAAGAATATTACTTTAACTCTCTTTGCTTGATGTTGACTATGATTTTAGTATTTCTGTTCTAACAATGATTTGATTCTTCCTACTTCACTGCCTTTATTGCAGTGAACTTGTTGATTTAATCAAATCAATCATTTTTATCCACTTGGCCTTGAAGATCAAACTACTAAATGATTAAATCAATTATTTCAATGATCCTTGCTCTCATTAAATTGTTTTTTTTTTCAGCTTAAAACCCTTAATATTTTTTCCGATTCATTTATGCTTTATTTATTCATTAACCTTATTCACCTTGCAGTGACAAAAAATATTCGACTTATTTTTTCTCCTTCTTATTAGAATCGTGAAGGCTTAGATGCCATTCAATTACTTGCAGCTAATTATTGCTACTTGCTATTATTCATTGCCAGTATTTATACACACTGTTTCAAAAATTAATCTACCAAAAATAGTAGTTGTCTAAGAATTTAGTGCAAGTTAAAGTAAATTATTTTTTTCTTTTTGGCTTTACATCAAAAAACTTAATTTTGAACACATATACTTACAAGAAGGTCATGCTTGTAAAATCTGGGTTTAGTGTGATCAAGAATAATGAAAAAAGAAATAAAGTTTGCATTCAGTCAGTTTACATTTGATGACCCCCAATGATTATGTTTGAGCAAGTTTTATAAGTTGTATAGCTTTTATGTCCATCATTTATATAAAGAATTTTTTTTTCTACTGGTTTCATGATCTGGATATACTTTCTCCAAAATTTAAAGCATCTTTGATACTGTTAAAATCATTTTTAATTATGAAATGTAGACATATTCTTTAACAGAAAATCAATCCTTTTGGTTTGTGCAACAATATATTTCCTTCTCACAGATGTTTACTTTAATTGTCTGCAACCTAAAGAGAATGAATTAAAATATATTAAAGATTAAGAACAAACTATTCTCTTACTTAGGTGGCTGTACACCATCTGTTTTGGCCTGGGTTGTTCCATTTTCCCTACTTTAAAAAAAAATCTATGATAGAGTGGGTTCCCTGTATGAATTAAAATGGTTACAGTGTTTTTGTCATTTAATTTTCTTTTCTTACTGTCCTTCTTTTTTATTTGTGTATATTTGTCTTTTGGGACTTATACATATTAGACATACAGTTTATATAATCAAAAAAGAATTGATCTTCTTCAATTTGCTAATAGGCCATTTTTTCTTTTTCTCTCTTCTGCTTAATTTACATTGTTTCTCTTTCTTCTACATGTTTTATTTCTTGATCTTGTAGCCAGAATAAAGTTCATCTCCAGATGATTTTACCATTTTTTATTCACTCCTTTTCTTTTGTCTTTATTGGGGTTTTTTTTTTCTTCCTTCCACTGTTTTTACAAAGTTTCTTTCTTGATATCATTTTTTTTTCTCTCAAATTTTTTACTTTCAAAAGACTGTAATCTGTCACTCGTTCTTCCTTTCTTTTCTACTCTCATCTTTTTCTGTATTTCTCTTTTTCATGGCCTTTCTTTTCACTCTTTTGTTTTCTCTTTCCAAATTAATTATACCCACAGCTTCTCTGATAGCAAGTGTCTTTGGTTACACTTTTATTAATAAAATCACTTGATTTTTAGGCTTGTTTTCCTAAAGCATTTGTGTCCTATTTTAAATATGTACGTACACATACCTGCACTGTATGTACTTAGGATATCAATAATATATGCAGATGTATGCAAAATGTGTATGTAGTAAGTTTGTGTATATTTGTACGCAGTGTTTCTTCCAATGAGAACTCCACAGATTTTATTCATTTTTTTTTTTTTTTTTGCACTGTGAGAATTTTATTTTCAACTTTTTTAATAAATCCCAATGCAAACAGAAAGAATTTGCCAGTGTAATATATTCAACATTATTTGCCTGCTAAAATCTCTTCTTTGTATGGTTGTTGTTAACATATTTCAATGAATCCATTCTTCAGTTCTTTTATGAAGAGATTTGAAACTCTGAACAATGTTGGATATGTTAATGACTAATGTCCAGTGTTTTCAAAATATTTCTTTCTATCTGATCAGACTTTCTTCTCTTTATGCATTCATATGCTATTCTTTTTTTCTTTTTTGGCTTTTTAGTTTTCTTTTGTCTTGTTTATCTCTTAATCTTTTCATAATTGTCTCATTTCAGCCTGCCAATATCCTCTTGGATGAATCAGGACATGTGAGGATTTCGGACTTAGGACTTGCCTGTGATTTTTCAAAGAAGAAACCTCATGCCAGTGTGTAAGTATTTCTTTTAATTTTCTTTTAGTTGAAAACAACATTTACAAGTAACAAATCACTTTCTTTTTTTATCACTTAAGAATTTTTCTCTCTCTCTTTTCACTTTTTTTCAGTGTTTGATGCACTTTCTAATAGGAACTTTATAATTTAATAAAATTTTATCTCCTATGCTTTTAATATTCCCGTTTAAATAGAAGAGAATTTTAGTATTTCTATTAAAATAGAAGAGAAAAAAAAATTAAATATTTAGAATTGTTGATTGTTGTATAATATCTATGGATGCTCATAGTGGAACAATATTGGTTGAGTATTTTTGCATTGAGAACAAATAGATTGTAAAGGCTGAAAATTATTAAAATAATTGATTATTTGTGAATTTTTTATAACAAAAATGACAGCAATATTTAAATGATTTTGTAATTGCAGGGTTTATATTTTCTGCATGAGTAATTGAGGATTTTCACTGATACAATTAATTCTATTGCTGTATGTGAGAAAGAATTCTTACTTTTTCAAGCATTAAAATTAAAGATATCCAAACAAAGCAATTACAAATTAAAAGAAAGAAATCTATTAGCAGCACAATCTCCCCTACTAATTAAATTTGTTATGGTTATGCATAGCATGCCAACTTATTGGCATTGAGTAATTCCTCTTGTTACCATAACAAAAGATCTCATTACTAAGAAGGGGAGATCAGGTTGCATGACTAATGTGTAAAGTTATATTGTTTTTGTTTTTTCTTACAGAATATAGTCAATTTAGTCTATTAGTCAATTTAAAGGGAAAATGTAATGCTGAAAGCAATATTTGATTACTCTCACATTTTTTTAGAGTTACTTTATATCTCTATAAGTAGATGTCTTTTTCTTTTTCTTCTTTGTACAGTGTGTGTGTGTGTGTGGGAGAGAGATGGACAAAGCAGAAAAAAATCCTTCTTTCTGCATGCCCTAAAAATTTCCTTTTTTCCAGTACTTAGAACAGTTCAGTTCTTACTGCTTCCGACCCTCTCCAAAAAGGTGACGTTTCATTAATATAGGCTCCTCAACTGACATGTCCAAAAACAATTATACAATAAATCACATTTTTATTTTATTTTCATTTAAACATTTAATAATGACTTAAGATGCTTTTTAACAAGTGTTTTTTTTATTGGGACTAATTGGAAGTAATGATAATTATTGAAGTAATTTCTACTTTCTCTTAAGTTATTAATGTTTTAATGCTGTACATGCATATATATATATATATATATATATATATATATATATATATATATATATATATATATATATATATATATATATATAATTTGTAGTTTTAAGGTATACTGCATTTATGGGCTAAAGTGTTAAATATCAGGGATAGAATGTAAGTGAATATAAAAGTGGACATTGAGGTCAACATCCAACAGCAACAGTCTGTTTCATACATAAAGTGTAATCGCCATGCTACTTACCTGACAAAAATTTTATGTATGTGTGTGTATACATGGTGCAATAGATGAATTGTCATCTAAATTATGCAAAAAAAACCCCCCAAAAAATGAAAATAACACTGACATCTCATTTTAAGAGATAAATTTAGCAAAATTAAACAAAAATATCTTTAAATACTAAAAGAGTAAATTTATTCAATAAAATCACCATTGGTTTCAACCAGGGCCTGCAGATGACTTCAGAATCTCCTGCAACTCTTCTGGATGGTCTCCTTGTTGGTGAATGCTGCTATAATCCTTGCCTTCAGTTCATCTTTTGTGTTACAAGGAGTTTTTTTGTTGGTCTCTTGTTCAACTCTGCCCAACACATAATAATGAAGTGGGTTGCATTCTAGGGTATTAGGTGGCCAAATGTTAGGAGTGATGTGGTCACAGAAATTGCCTGATGGCCATGACTGGGTACTCCTGCTTGTGTGGTATGATGCAGAGTACTGTTGTCAGACATAGTGTCTTCCAGCAGCCACTCTCTTGACCAAGAGCAGCACTACCTCCTCAAGGTAATTGATGTAGGCCTCCATGTTAAATTTGAGGCCCGGTGCGAAGATGAATGGAGATGTAACATTGCCATCACTTGTGATCACTCCAAACACAATGATGTTGACTGGATATATCATCCAACTCTTTCCAAATCCTCTGCACTGTCCTCAGATTGACACCCAAACACTCTGAGATGTTTGTATTGGAACTTCCAGCCTAAATGTCAAACAGTACAGCATGCTGTTTCCAAATTTCTAGCAGAGTGAATTGCGCCATGGTGCTCTTTTTCTCACAGACAGTGCCCAACTGACCCTACTGTACTGTGTAATCGACAAAAACAAACCTTGCACGGAATGGCGATAATTTAACCATTGCACCCTCTGTGTGTGTATGTATATATATGAAATTTCTGTCAACTAGTGATTGATATTAACAAAAGCAATCTGATATTTTAGCACTGATTGGCAATTTCTTGTGAAACGTATCAAATGGTTCTAAATAGCATAGATTTGTGCTGCATATTGTGTTCCTCTTATTACTTTGGGAAGAGGTTTCAGTTTTCTTTCAGGAACAACTAAATTATATAATTAAAGAGGATATATGAGTGTATGCTCCAAGTGCTAATATGTTATGACTTGTAATCAGAGATCACTTGATACATTGCATTGCAAAATTTATGAGACTAAATCCATTGAGACACTCTACTTTCACTGCATGTAATCATTGGGAATATGTTTATACATAAGAGATTCACATTTGCAACCTTAAAAAGACTCTTTAAATAATTCTTAACACCCTTTTTCTATGCCTCTGTCTACAACCAATACTGACATGGAAGAAAGATCAAAAGACAACAAGCATTGGACTAATTGAGGCCATGTTTTCTCTTTCATAATTGGGAGGGGGATATATATTTTTAATTTCACACTTGTGCAATGTTTGTTTTTGATTTTGTCGACTGCACAGTTTAGTAGGGTCAGTTGAGCACCGTCTTTGAGAAAAAGAGCACCATGACACAATTTATTCTACCAGACATTTGGAAACAGCATGCTGTACTGCTTGGTATTTGTGCCAGAAGCTCCAATACAAACCTTTCAGAGTGTTTGGGTGTCAATCTGAAGACAGTGCAAAGGATTCAGAAAGAGTTGAATGATGAGTCCAATGGTGATTACGAAGGTGTCTGAGGTGATCACTAGTGATAGTGGCATTATGCCTCCATTCATCTTCCCACAGGGCCTCAGACTCAACACAGAGGCCTACATTAAGCACCTTCAGGAGGTAGTGCTGCCCTGGTTCAGGCAGCATAACTCTGCATCATATCACACAAGCAAGAGAACACAGTGATGGCTGTTAGACAATTTCTGCAACCATATCACCTCTTACATCTGGCCACCTAACTCCCCAGAATATTTTTTTTTATTTTCCAAACATGGTCAGTAGATTGTGGCATACAAGCAGGAGAACCTAGTCATGGCTGTCAGACAATTTCTGTAACCACATCATGCCTTGCATCTGGCCACATAACTCCCCAGACTGCAACCTGCTTCATTATTAATTGTGGGGCACAGTTGAATGAGAAACCAACAAAACTCTTTGTAACACTAAAGATGAACTGAAGGCAAGGATTATGGCAGCATTCACCAACATAAACAACAAAACTGTCCAGAAGAGTTGCAGGCGATTCTGAAGTTGTCTGGATGCCGTGGTTGAAGCCAATGGCATTTTATTGAATAAATTTACTGTGTAGTATTTAAAGATATTTTTATGTAATTTTGGTAAATATATCTGTTAAAATGAGTTGTCAGTGTTATTTTCATTTTTGTTTAATTTAGATCACAATTTATGCATCGCACCGTGTATGTTCAGTTTAATGTCCTCATATTTGTTAATTTTATTATCACAATGTTTCTTTTTTTCTTTGAGGTTTCTGTCAATCAAAGTAATCATCACAAAATTTCAAACTGAACCCTTTTTTTTAAATCTACTGAGGTAGATTACTCTTGTTCTGCAGACCCTGTTTAGGGATATTTCATATTTTAATACTGTCAAGTCATTGCTCACTCTGTTTCCACTGAATTTTGAGTTTGTACTAACTGACTCAGGGATAGAACTCAGAATTGCTATACAACAAAACTCATGAACTAATGCTTTAATCCACTAAACTAATGTCCTATGGGTAAGCAATAACTGAGCAGTACTAAAAGGAATAAGATGAAATATCCCTAGACATGCTAGACAATTTTTCTTGCTCGAATCTATCTTAGATATTTATAAGTCTACCATTTGCCCATGCTTTGAATATTGACACCACATATAGTCTGGTGCTCCTGCTATAGATTTAGAGATTCTTGATAAAATCCAAAGAAGAATCTGCATTGTCATTGATCCTGACCTGGCATCTCGTCTTCAGTTCCTTTCCCATTGCTGTAATGAAGCTTTTATGTGACTTTTCTATAAATCCTTTCATGGTAATTGTTTGGATGACCTTTCCTTGATGGTATCTAGACTTTATGAATTTAAGCACAGTACTAGATTGGTGGAAAGGTTTCATCATTTTACAGTCAAAATGGCTAAATATAACTGTAAGTTCTAAGCTAAGTTTCTTTTCTTGCACTTCTTGCTTGTGAAACTCTGCTCCAACTTCTTGCTTTCCTGTCAATTTCAATCTTCAAAAATTTAAATGTAATGTCAAATGTTATCTGTTGTTTTTAATTTCTGTTCTTTTGCCTCTTAATAATGTTTTTCTTTTTCTTATATTCTTTCACACTCAGTAAACCATCCCTCACGTGTCTTAGTGGCTTCGTTGCTTGCTTGTGGGTGAAATAATTAAAAAATAAATGAAGAACAATAAATTTGAAATTCCCTGATTGACAGACACCTGAAGAAGGCTAGATTGTACAAAGGCTGAAACAACAAAGATGAGGACATTAGTCTGATTGCAAATAAGAATATCTTTTATCACCTATAAAAATAATTCACCACGAAAAGTAAATCGTTATACTATACAGTTGGCCAATGTTTTCAGTTCCTAACTGTTGAGATCTTGAAAAGTGAGATTTGAATGGAAAGGTATTTTACGTTATGAAATAACTGAAGATAATGTAGGTTGGGGAGAGGCCAAGTTGTTAAGGATTCGACAAATATTTAAAAACAAGTCAAGTTACATATGCAACCTTTGTTTGAAAATCACTGGGCATTGCTTAATATTATAAAGTAGAAACTAGGTTTTTCATTTATCTTAAAACAATACATTAACAAATGAAACAGGCCAACACTGCTTTGATGTATTAGAGATGAAAAAGATTTATAATTTATATAGTTTTTGTATTGTTTTTTTAAGACTATCTTTGTTCAGAATTAGAAACATTTCCATCTTATTTTGACATTAAAAAAAAATCAATTCTGCTGCCACTTCATAGCGTTTGTGAAAAAATTTAATATCCAAGAACTTTAAAGATCATTGGTAATATTTGACGGATTTATACTTCTAAATTTTACCTGACACTTAATGGCTTTAAGAGATTTTCCCCACAACATTCTATCCTTCATTTGTCAAGATCACTTCTTAATTGTATTTGATTACAACTAAAAAAAAATAGGTGAAAAGTGTACATCTTAATCAAATTCCTCTCCAGTTTTTTTTTTTTCCTTCTGTGAAATAATCTAAAATATTACTCAACCAAAGGGTTCCAGTTGATTCCTTCTCAATATTCTTAAGTTTAATCCTGATGTTATGAGATAAAATATTCTCTAGGCTGTAGGTTCAGTCCCAATATGTCAACAAAGCAATCTGGTAGTTGGACAAAGGTCATCTAGATTAAAATATTCTTTATACTGATATGTTTCATACTGATCCATGCACCAGAGTAAACCAAAACAAATTATTAACTGATCTTGTTTATTAGGCAGATTCAGTTTTACTTGGTCTGTTTTCATATTTGTCAGTTATGAGTACTTTACACGTGTATCATATTACATAATCATAATTACATCACACATTTTTAATCAAGTAAAATATTCATGAATGAATATACTGGTCATATTGCAACTTGATCTCCACCCCCACCCCCACCAAATGTATCATTATCAATCTTTGTTCAGTTTATAAGTGTAGCTATAATCTAATTATTTGAAACTTTCAGATTTTTTCATTAGTCATCTTTCTGGTATATTAACAATATATTTATCTGCTTCACGTCAATATAATTAATTCAAATTGAAGTTGTAGTTAGTTCGTCCTGTTTTTGTCTCTTTTACAGTCAGACAATGAAATTTTGGCCTTCAAAATTTCCTTTTTTTTTTTTTTTTTTTCATGGATACGGTTCTTTGGTTCTTCATTTTTGCTTAGCATCTAAAGTAATAAATGCAGAAACAAAAAAATCTCTTTCTTTAAATGAATTTATTGAACGCCGCTTAGTTGTTTACCTTTTGCCTGGTAAAATTTCTTTAGTTTTTCTTAATTCAGTTTCTCAATAAAAACATCTTGACAAATTTACATAGAGCAGCAAAAGGTAGGAGGATGTAGAGAGCATGATTGCCTAAATTATGAAAAGCTATGGCAAACATGAAAGAAAAAGTGGCTATAGTCTTAAACCATCTTACCACTCAGGATATTGGATATCAAGTAGTATACTAAGCAAGAACCTGTCCTTAGATGCCTCTGCTTACCACTGATGAGCTTAATATCTTTCAGCTTGAAATCAAATTCTGCCATGTTAAGAAAACCTGTAAATTCTTCATTGAGCACAACCAGTAAACATCCTTGATCACAGACTTACTTTCTAGAACTCCAATCATGAAGGAGCTAGCATTGACTGACATGTTCATTTTCTTGCATTCTGCTGATGATTTCCAGTGTCCCACTCTTAAGAGGATATTGACCTCCGACACTTTGTAATTGCAGTGATTCTCTGTGTTTTCTGATTTCTATTTACTATGCAGAGCCACCTACACGCTTAGAAAACTTTCTAGCAAATGAAAAAGGAAAAAAAAAAAAAAAAATGCTTGTTCTTTTGTGATGACCTCAGGAATTTCTACCATGTTTCTTTCACATTTCCAGCTGTCATTTGAACCCCTCCCCACTCATCCAAATCAACACTTGAGCATCACCCAGTTGTTCTGGGTTCTTATTAAATAGTTCAAAATTTGACACTTGCAACAAGATATTTTCATTAACAAATATATGAGAGGATGCTGAAACATTCTCAGCTTCCAAAAATTCATCCAAATGACCAAACATCAGAATTTATTTTGCAATCATTTGTTTGAATCAAGAATTTTTCAACCTTGATATATCATCACTATGTTACCTTTTGAATGATCTAGCAACAACATGGACTTCAAGACAAACTTGATGATTAATGATGCTATATTGAGAACAAATCTGCATCTTGTAAGTTAATACCTTTTTGCTACATGACTCATGAACATGCAGTTGCAAGTATGAAGATAAGGTGGAATATATTTTTACTTTGTTGTCACCATTCCTTTAACTGAATACAGACATCTCCATTGACTAAAAATGTATTAACATAACCATTCAACTCAGTATAATCCATTGCAATGGACACTTCTGCCTGACAGCCACTCTTGTCTATTAACGAGTGGACATTTGATTTTCAAACAATGTATTCAGAATTGGGTATTTTGACTGAAACTAAAAGACTTTATCATTTGTTAAAACTGAATATGTCATGTGGTGATTTTGTTTTCTTCACCATTTCAATCCACCCACAAGAGGAACACCTCCACTAGTAGCAACCCAAGTGTCAGTGACCAATAGTTTAACTGAGCCAAATATTGATGCCATCAATGAGCAGAAAAGTGATCTTCAACTCGCCATAGCCCTATAGTCAGTAGCTAGGATGAAAAATTATATATTGGTTCAATCATTTTTTCATCTGTTCTGATTTGTACTAAAGCCACCAAACTTAGGGCATAAGTTTTAATTCAAAAAACATGTTTCTTAATTTGCTAAATTTGTAAATTTAATTTAAATTTAACTTTGTAGTAAAGTTGGTTTAAAAAGAAAAAAAAGCAATAAATTTAAAATAAACCAACAAAATTTAAAAACCAAGTACAGCTAAAGTGTCCAGTCAAAAACTATCACTAAGTGAATTCAAAATCCAAATACTGATAAAAAGTGCAGTTATAACTTTTACTAGGCCAGAAACACAAATGTGATGCCCCAAAGCTATTTTCTTTTGGTTATATATCAAGAGCAGCCATCTTGAAGTGCTTTATCACTAGCCACCATGAGGTGGTGCAGTCTGCATTACCTTTTCTTTTTACAGGTGGCACAGTGTTTCCAACACAATAAATGTTGTTTATTTAAAATTTCACAGGGGCACCCATGGGTACATGGCACCAGAAGTTTTAGCCAAAGGTGTTGCTTATGATTCCAGTGCAGATTGGTTTTCATTTGGTTGCATGCTTTACAAACTATTAAAAGGGTAAGTTTCATTTTTTGAAATCTCTCTTGATTCATTTACTTTTAAAATATTGTTTCTTTCCACATTTTTAAAAAAAAAATTCTTCATTCATTTTGCTTATTTTTTTTTTTTTTAAATTCTTTACAAAGTCAAATTAAACAGTTTGACATTTGAGATCTTAATGAGAATTATGTAAGATAAAACAGACACTTCTGCATTTTCTTTTCTCATAAATCAGTTTTCTTATTTTTGTTTGCTGTGCCATTTGTGAATATATTATGGAAAATTTATTTATTTTAGTGGTTAATTGTAATTTCTTTTGAAAAAGCGTTCCTCTTTAAAATGCTGCATTTGTTCATACTTTTACAATGGCAATGATGAGTGCACTCTGAACACCACTTAGAAACTTGAAAATTGTGACCAAGATTACAGACCTCCAGAAAACTAGCATCTTTTATCCTGCAAGGATTCTCTGAAAAGTTCTTCAGTTGTGGGGAGACTTATTCACACCATATTTCAATAACATAATTTCTATTGACTAAGTCACTGTGCAATGCCAACATAATAATAAACTTTATTTTTTTTCATTTTTCTTTCTTTCTTTTTTTCATGTATAATTGACTTTGTTATGGTTTCTAATAAAATTTACATGACTTTTTAAACATTTGACATTCATATCATCTTTTTTGCATTGTACTTTATGATTTTACTTTTAACTTCAGAGTTTATTAATTTTAGAAATACAGCCTACAGTTTGTCAAGCAACAACAGGTTGAGGCTTAATTTAGAAGTAATGGTAAAAATTACTCTCAGATGTTATAAAATCTCATTTTTAAGTTAAAAAATATATTATTCATTTTTTTGTTCCTTAACCATAACAAGAATTTGCCTTGATTATTTGATTCATATATTAATTCTGACTTAGATTTTTCACAAAAATCTTTTTCTTTTTTCTTTTTTTTTTTTTTTAAATTAAACTAAAAATAATTTTCCATTTCTTTTTAAAAGGTTTCCCATAATCCACTTGTCTATCTTTTGTTCTATTGAATATTAAAAAGAAAACAAGAAAAATAATCCAATTGTTGTTGGATGTAAAAAGTTTCTCTCAACTATATTTTTATTCAATTAATTTGGAGTCTGTAAGGTAGAATCCAAATACAAAATCCAATGTCACAGATTCTTCATATCCTTAGTTATTTCATCATCAAAGCAAATTGTTTTCTTCAGATTACAACAGCAACTTGTCTAATTACTTTACTCCCACCCAAAAGCAAAGATGCAAAAAAATAAATGCCTTAAATGCTTATCAATTGTTACTTCTACATTTTCATGAAATAAGGATTAAATCTTCCTTAATTGTTCCTTTTTCTTAAATTTATCACAAGACACAGATAAACACCTGTAATTTTAATTCTTCTTCAGATCAGCGACACATCTTAACATCCAGATTTGCAACCCTCTTTACAATATCCACATGTACATCATATGTTCCTAAAGTAGATACAAGTTCGAAACAATGTCAGATTTTATTAGATAGATCAATGCTTTCACAGTAAAATTGGTGTTAACCAACCAATTTTGATAAATGTTTTAGCATGTTTATATGAATAATGTGGATTTCAGTTTTTAATATCCCATTATACTAGAAATATTTATAATAGCTTGTTTGCTAATGTCATATTATATTATGCAACACAAAGGTTGTTCATCTCATTGGAAATAAATATATGTAATAGTATAATTATTGATATGTTTTTTAAATTTCCAATATATAAATATTGCCATGGGTCATCAGGAATATATAACCTTAACAGAGGTCAATTACGAAATCTGGCTTCAAATGCTAACTTATGCAATAAAAAAATTTTTGAGTTGATTTATAACTTCAACTGAAATCTTGACATTGTTTTTATGCTAAAAATATCACTGTAAACAAACTCATTGTCTCTCATAGATGAAAATGTGTCAGAAAACACCAAGCACAAGATAACTTGTATTCAGCGTCATAATAAAAACTGCCAAAAATGAGTTATATATTTACTGAGGATATTATGCAAATCAAATACTTTTAACTGACACATATCTTTTGGATTTATTTATCAAAAAAAAAAAATGGCATTGAATTTGCTTGTGTAATAAAACCTGACACTCCAAGTCCAATTATTATCAATAAGTTTAATAAGGATATTGATTATAAACTGAAACTCTCAGTATATCTTGTTAATTTGATCAGCATCTGCTATTTTGTATGAATTTTATTGCGAAAATATTGAGCTGCATAATAAAATTTGGTATAGTTTACACAAGCACACATACAGACTATATATAATAGGCACAATTATTATAGGTACATGCAAACTATATATAAATAAATAGGCACAATTATTATAGGTGAATATAGGCTATATACATAAGTAAATAAGCATAATTATTATAGGCACAATTATTATAGGTGAATATAGGTTATATACATAAGTAAATAAGTATAATTATTATAGGCACATGCAAACTATAAGTAAATAGGCACAATTTTTTTTCTTTATCAAAATATATTCATTGACAATTATTTAATTTACTTTTGGGTGAAGTGCAAGAGATAACCTGTATAATCAGTTCACAATGACTCATAATTCCAGGAACACAGGAATAGTCAAGTTTTGGAAACAGACAAATTGTTGATCAATCTAAAGGTGAAAGGAGCCAAAACTAATTAGCATAGTAATTGGGAATTCCAACTTTGATCTATATATTCCATTATTATACAATACAAATGTCTGGAACACATGGAGGGGGGGGGGCTCTGTTCAGAAAAATCTATATTTAGTTGGCAGGAGAGACATTTCCTACTAGTAACTGATTTGGACAAAAACAGCAACCTATCGATCCCCACCTCAATCTATTATAAGGCTGGGTCTGATTATGCCGAGAAATTAATGTTGTCTTCCTGCTGTTTTATGGCTCTCTAATAAATAAAATTCTACAACCGCTTAAACATTGGTTTTCTTCAAGGAATGAAGCTTTTGCCAAATTCTCCAATTATAACATTGTGGTATCGTTATGTCAGTAATTTTTTAGTTAACTACTTGAGAATTTGGCATCAACAGAAATTTTGCTGGAAGGCATTATGCCTTGAAGCAATTCTCTCCTGAAAATATATTCTTGTTCAAGCAAATATTTGAAACTTCATTTCAGGCACAGTCCATTTAGGCAGCACAAGACTAAGGATAAACATGAAATTGACCGAATGACCATGACAATGGTGAGTTGAAAATATTGATTTCTATTTGATTGCCAACTTGTGGATTGTAATTGTAATTTACAATGGTTGGGATCTTTGAGTGGATGTTTGTGAAAATGTAATATTTATTCATAATTTATTGCTTGCCATTTGCTATTTTTATTAAAAGTTTCCAGATGATATCAAAAAATGTATATAAGTAAAGTTTAAGAGTAATCATCAGAATGAAATTTGTCTTGTAAGTTGTTTCAAATGAAATTTAAACCCGGAAGCTAACTTAGGCAATTACTGTTCTTTGAAAATAATTGCTACATATTGCAAATGGTTTTCTATGATAAGAGAATTTCTTGCAGGTCTCTCTTAATGATTATTACTTTGCTTGCGAATCAAGATTTATGAAAAGAAATGGTTTCATTTGCGCAACTTTTTTTTCTCTTTCTTCTTCTTTCTTTCTCTTTTTTTTTTTTTTTTTTTTTTTTTAAGCAAATTTCGAAACAAAAGCAAAAACTTTTTTTTCTCCTTCTTTTGTTTCTATTTATTTATTTTCATCTTTTCCATTGCAGAATGTGGAATTACCTGATTCCATGTCAACAGAAATGAAATCCTTACTGGAAGGTCTTTTAAAGAGAGAAGTCGAAGAGAGATTAGGATGCAAAGGAAAAGGGTGAGTAAACAGAGAAAAACTACCTTTACTATTTCTTTTCTTTTTTTCTCTTCTCGTATCCCAACAAGTTTAGCAGTGCACAGATTATGGGTTCCGATTATAATTTGCCTCTCCTTATTCTGTGAGACACATGTGGGTAGGGTAATGGATTGTGACTCGGAATGAGAAATTGAAGAGCCAAGTTCAAATTCCAGTCAAGTTACTTACATTCACTTAGGTCTAAGACCTCTTGGAAAAAGTATGACTCCATCTCCTCCCCCCAGCTATGGGTTAAATAATGGAACTTGTATTTGGAAAAATCATTATCTCAAAAAAATTGTAAATGCAATATTCACTTGCAAAAAAAAAAAAATTTTTTTTCTACAATGCAAAATATGTTTAAGCTTTAAATAAACCACAAAGTGTTAATAATCCATTAATAATAAAACAAATCAATCACTCAGTATCCGAACCCATACCCCCCCCGATTTGCATTTAATATAGAAACTAACAGAAAGGAAAAGTATTGGTAAATTTATTAAAGAAATCAATAAGGCAGGTTAGTTTTTTTTAGTTTTTTTGTTTTTCTTCATTCAGTTCAATATTTTTGACCTATAAACATATGCCCTCTATATATGTATATATGGATTGAAGCTGAATTGAATACAAACCATGAAATGTATTCTACTGCTGATAATATTGGTAATATATTTATTCCAGTGTCAAGTCTAACAAGTTTCAAGTTCTAAAATAATTCTTTAAATCTGTGATTGTCTTTGTAAACACTTTTTGTCTAGTAATGAAATAGATTTGGCATTTTAACATGGACATGCCTATTTAGTTCTTTTTTTATTTAAAAATTAACAAAATGACTGTTTATAATTGGAAATATATTTAAAATTTTTGTTAGTAATAATCTGTCGTAATTGAAAGAAAAATATTTTAAAACCAAAGGAATTGATTTATGTACCTTACAATATTTTTTAAAATCATTTCATCCCATGCACAGTGATAATGCCACTAAGATGTCATGGGTTACCGAGAGTGAACGAGAATGAGAAGTCTTTAGTGAGTAGAAAAGGCAATACAAGAATAGGATTCAGGAAGACAAAACATTGTGACTGAAGTTGTAATTAATTTTTTGCAATAGAACTGATGGTTACATCTAGCTATTTCAACAGTAACATAATGAGACCTTTTTGCTAACTAGAAGTAGACTGAAATTCATGCAATCAAGTTACTAAGGACAAGAGTTCATTAGAATAATTGCCATGAAAATATTTATAGAAGTCATGTCTTGGCGGTGAGAAAGTAACTGATGCTGAGATGCCAGATTAGAATTGATTACATTGCAGATCCTTCTTTGGATTTTGTCAAGAATCTTGATATATATAGCAGGAGCACCAGACCATATAGGACGGCAATATTCAATGCACGGATGCTTGATAGATTTATGAATGTGTATGATGGATCATGTCGAGAAAGATTGTCTAGCATGACATAGTGAACAAACATTACTCGCAGCAGACGGAGCAATTGATTCACTATAATCAGTCCACTTCAATTCAGTGAGAAATGTTTAGTTTCACTACAATAGTAATAGTCTACAAAACTCAACTTCACACAAAGAAGCCAAATCTGTCAGAGAAAAATAGCTTCCATAGACTTTATGAATAAAGTATTTGTTGTTAGTGTTACTAATGACAGTAGTCATAGCTAGAAAGAATACTGAGATAGATTTATTAGAATGGAGAATTTCAGTAAACTAGTGTGTAGTCACTACTGAGGAAATAGATGGAAACTTGACCTTACCTCTCACCTGTCTAGACTGTTATTCTTATCACATACAAATGAATAAATGATCTTTCCACAAACATTTTTAACCATTTCTCTTTGATTATGTTTTTACCAGAACATTTACTGAAACACTGATGATTAGCAAGTTTCTTAGAGTTTCAATTCATAGCTTTGTGCCAAAGTGAGTAAATACTTGGAAATGCTTATCATAGCACAATATTCATTTTGCTGATCAATTCACTAATTCAGAGTGTTTGACCCTCACTAGGTGACCTACTGTCAGATTTGGTGCAAACCTCATTAAATAATATACTACTTCATGTTGGCAAAAACTACATTGTAAAAAAAGTGTCTTCCTATATTATTAATCTAGAATATTTTACTTTATATAAATATTTTATTTTTATTCTAGAATATTTGCTTTATGAAAAGAGGATTTCTCAATAGCTATTCTCATTTTCAAATTGTTATAAGTCTCACTTGTAGTTACATCTTGAGTGTCCACATCTTCAGTTAAACATTAAATATGTCACCCTCGTTCACAGTTGACTTTTTTCTATTTACCCTACAATCTCTGCCAATTTGCATATGTGGGACATAGCATGTTCCCCCCTTACTGAAGACAGATGGGTGCAAAGCACATGTGGAACTTTGTAGATATCTAGAAAGTTCTAGAACCAATATTATCCCCCCCCCCATAAGTTTGTTGCAGGTAGTGTTCCTAACACAAATGCTTATAACTAGAAGCCAGTGTCATTATTAATAAGTTAATAATTTAATGCTCTAACATTTTTGGATTCCAAATATACATTTACTGAATTAAAAAAAAAAACAGTTGTGGTATTTAAATGCATGAAATCACAACTCTATTTCCAAAAACCTTCAACCACTGTGTTATTATTATTATTATTTTTTTTTTTTTTTTTTAGTGCAAAAGAGTTGAAGGAACATGAATTCTTCAATGATATGGACTGGAACCAAGTATACCAACTTCGTTATCCACCCCCATTGATTCCACCCCGTGGAGAAGTTAATGCTGCCGATGCATTTGATATTGGCTCTTTTGATGAAGATGATACCAAAGGAATCAAGGTAAGGCTGATTTTGAATCTTAGAATTCTTTTTAAAAATATTCTTTACAGTATTTTTCTTGTACTAACAATTTTGAAACTTGAGCTTATTGTATCCAAGAACTCTAACCTCTAAAGGTTCCAGAAAAATGGAATCAAATTTTAATCGGACCGCTTTATTCAGTTTAAAAAAAAATTACATGTCTCTAATTATTTCATTTGCAAACCCTATTTTCTATATGTCGGGCAATGTGGTTGTTTACTTTATATTACAATCTTCACTTTGGTTAACAATCAGCCATTTTCAAATCTACAGTTTTTTATTTTTACTTTTATTAAATGAAGCATTGTCAATTTTCAGCCACAACTAAAATTGATATATGTCACTCAAAGAGAAAATAATAAAATAATCAAGATATTGACATTTCACACTATCCCAAACAAAAGGTTAGGAAGGAAACCCCCATCAATACTGGAAAGAACAATAACAGCTACTGGACTTGAGAAAACCTATTTTCCTGAAAAATTGCTTTAAGATAAAGATTTTATAAATTTCAACCAACATTAGTAGTGGTTGCCCAGCCAGTAAATGCCAAATGTTTCTTTATAAGGAAACAGCTAATATTATCATTATTATTTACCTCTACTTTTCCATGCTGTCCACTTACTGATATATTTTTACAACCTGAATAAAGTTACAATAAAAAGCAACTACTAGACAAAATTAACAAATAATTGACATATTTTCCTCTGATTAAAAAAATAAAATTGAAATAATAATGTGGCTATTAGGTTAAAAACAAATATGATGCTAAGAAAGCTTGGCTTGAAGGATATATGTATGTTTGATTTAATCTTCTGCAACTAAATGAAAAATAATTAAAATGCATTTATAGATACTGATGATGCTACTTTGGGCAGTAGATGACCAAAATGTCTATTTTTATAATAATCCTTTCCAATTCTAAAATTTAACAGATTGCTTTAATGCTCATTTTTTTTAAAAATCACTGTCACAGTTACAATAACTTTGTCTTTGTAATTCACCCCTGCGGATGATCTTGGAGGAGACTGAAAGTACTTTGGTAGGAAAAAACTATGGCACCTTCCTTGATGAATTCCATCTCAGCATCAAGGGACTGAATAAGTGAACTGGAAAGGATTATTATAAAAATAAATAGACATAATATGTCTATATTATTCAATGAAAATAAATAAATATATATATATATATATATATATATATATATATATAGAAATATAGTTTTAAGGTGTGCTATATTTATGGGATAAAGTGCTCAATATCAGAGATAGAGCGTATGTAAATATAAAAGTGAACATTGAAGTCGACACTCAGAGGCGAAAGGCTGTTTCATGCTAAACTGTTAAACGCATTCGTCAGGCCATGTGTGTTGGGTTTTTCTTGACTATTTCTATATATGGGTCAGTGGTGCTAAAAGATAGTGCATTGTAGGTAGTCCATTCTGACAGTTATTTTGGTGTGAGTGGTTTATTTATTTGGGTTAATTTATTTTACTTGTTTTTTATTTATTTTTAGTATATATTTATTTATTCTTTTTCGGTTTTCGATGTTTTAGTAACATAGTAAAAAAATTTTGAGATTAGTTCAGATCGTTTGTTTAATAGTTTGTTTTGGTCTGGGAAGGTAATTAAAGCTTTTTTTTGTTCAATTTTTGGATTGATTGCTATTCTAAGAGGAGTGGTTTGTTAATTTGTTTATTATTTGCTTGGGTTAATTTATTTTACTTGTTTTTTATTATTTTGTTTATTTTTATTTATTCTTTTCAGTTTTCGATTTTTAAGTAACGTAGTAAAGATTTGTTTTCGTGTCTGCATTTTGAGACGAGTTCAGATCATTTATTTAGTAGTTTATTTTGGTCTGGGAAGGTAATATTAGCTATTTTTTCCTCCAAGCAAATTTGAAGGTTTTGGATTGATTGCTGTAAGCTGATGATCTTTTCCTTATTTTCCATGATATTTCTGGTGTGATTTGCTTTTTTTTTTTAATTTCCAAGATATACTTTGAAAGCATTGTGCTGTTCGCGTATTTACTATTTGTGAAAGATGTTTTGTGTGCATAGTTTCTTTGTTTCCAGGGTCCTTCAGTTACTCCTATGTATATTTTTTCTTCATTACTTGGTGATTATACCATGGCTTGGTATATTACATTGTTTTATAAGCAATTACTGTTTAAGGGACATTCATTCTTTATTCTGCAGTTACACGTGGGTTTAATTTGTTCTGGTGGTTCGTTGATAATTTTCCTGTTACCTTCAACCTAAGAAAACCATACAGAAAACTCAATGATAAACCGCTGTATATAAACACATCTTCCAATCACCCACCTTCTATAATCAAACAGATACTAAAATCTATTAACCATAGGCTTTCCAACAATTCTTCCAATGAAACCATATTTATCAAAGTTAGGAAAGACTATGAAACATTCCTAAAAGATAGTGGATTCTTGGTAACACTCACATACTTACCACAGAGAACAAAAAAGGCCAACAGGAAGAGAAATATCATACGTTTCAACCCACCGTACAGCAAAAACATAAAAACCAACATAGAAAAAATATTCTTCAAACTCTTACAAAAACACTTCCTGGAATCAAGCACCTTACACAAAATATTCAACAAAAACACAGTAAAAATCATCTGCAGTTGCACCGAGAAGATGGCACAAATAATAAAAAAGCACAACATGGAAATTAATAAAGAAAATGTGCTATCCAGTGGGGACTGAATTATGTATAGATTAAAAACTGACACGGTCACTGGGAGGAATCCATGTTAAGTTGAATAAGTCATAAATTTATGCAGTTATATTTCATATTTATCATTGAAATGGTCTTATTTAACCTGATTTTCCATTTGATGTAGGATTTTAGATAGGTTGATAAAATAGAGGAAGTCTTTCTTTTAATATATTGTGTATAAAAGATTAATAAATAGTATAGCAAAATTTTTCATTAGTGACTTTTTACTGCTTAATTAAAAAAACACTAGGTTAATTATATCAATCATTGTTTTCTGAAGTTAACATCTTAACTGATCGAGCAATTTCAAAGTAATTTTGTTTTAGCAATTATTTCCAGATCAGCTTCAAATATTTAATCATACCATTCAAATATTGTTGGAAATGATCTTTATATATTGCCAAGTGGTGGCAAAAGAACATTCTTATTTGGTACCCAGTTTTAAGGATTTAATTATTTTTTTTTTAATATAAAAGTAAAAATAAAAAAAAAAATCTCGATGTGACATATCAGAAATGTTTTTAGGGTAGAACAATTTTTGTAGTTTTGCTGAATGCACTTTAATCTCAGAATGCATACGTACTACACTGATCCAAGACCGAATTGCCAGCTCTTACATCAATAATCCTGGCATTTTTTTTTTGTAGGTATGGTGTATGTGTGTGTGTCTACAGTGAAATTTCTTTAAAAAATTAAAAGTTTAAAAATTGTAATTTACATATACTTTGATATGGAAAAAAAATTTTTACTTACTATGAGTAATTATCCTTCTGTTATAAAGTAATATAGTCTAAATTAAAACTAACAATGAAAATATTTTAAAATTTTAAAGTTATAATTTTAAAATTGAAATTAAAATTGTAGTAAAATAAAATGAATTCTAACATGTTATTTATACATACATATGAAACTTTATTAATTGGGTTACATATATTTGAAATAAATAAATTAATTAATAAATAAATAAAGTTTACTAAATCTGAGAAATGACTTAGCTAGTTTTGTAGTAAGTGCCATTAATATTACTTAAATAATATTTAAATTTGAAAAAAAAAAAAAAAAAAAATTTACATATA